ACAGCAGCAGGACACACATGTAGTAGAAGTACAGCATGATAACAACCATTTTAAGAATTGAATGAAAATTCAACAGGTATAAGCTGAAACAGTTAGGATAGCTTATACTATAATAAACATTGCAAGATTTGTATTCAATTAATAGAGAAAGAGATTAACATATTCTATTTCTGTGTTCCTTTATGATGCAGTCTAGTATTTTCCTTTAATTGTAGTCCTAATATAAAAGACTGATGTTTCTCTACGTGTATATGTTCACGTATATGAACATGATATGGAGCTGCTAATTTTAAGTTGAAGTTGTTACTATTTCTGTATTCCACTGTAAAGCTGTAGGTTCTGAGTTAAGTTTTGACACATGTAGTGACATAAGGTGGATTTCACTTGTCAACATTCTTAACTTGAAGAAACCCACATGAACAAAGTTCCAAAGTGTTTCCGACTCTGTAATTACACTGTAAATCCTCAAATTAGCACCCCAACACCCTTGATTAAGCGCCCCCCTTGAATAAGCGCCCCCTCGTCTTCTCCTAAATTTGAAATAAGCGCCCCGGGCACTAATTCAAGGATTTACGGTGTGCAGTTTGGAGAGCCATTTTATGTGCTTGTAGCCAATGTCGTTGGCAAAGAATGAGTTTCGACAGCTCAAGTGGCAGCTACATGTACCACNAGAAACCCACATGAACAAAGTTCCAAAGTGTTTCTGACTCTGTAATTACACTGTAAATCCTCAAATTAGCCCCAGCCCCCTTGATTAAGCACCCCCCTTGAATAAGCACCCCCTCGTCTTCTCCTAAATTTGAAATAAGTGCCCCGAGCACTAATTCGAGGATTTATGGTGTGCAGTTTGGAAAGCCATTTCATGTGCTTGTATATATGTCTTTTGCAAAGAATGAGTTTTGACAGCTCAAGTTGCAGCTACATGTAACACAAGTGTTGAAAGCATCTTATTCTCTTCCTAAGTAGGAGTATTCCACATCCACCTGTAATTCTCAGACTAATTCCATGAAGTCTTAAGGGTGACTTGTGTTGTTAAGCCAGTTTCTATGAAGTCTTCTGCTATTATTTTTGGAAGCTGATAAACATGCATAGCATCACTAATGTTGCTGTTAATATTAACATTTGCTTACTGTCACTTGCATATTATAGTATACTGTAGTTGTTACCACAGCATTCATTTGGGTTATTTGCATAAGCACAATAGTACAACTTGCTTCACCTGCAATACACAATAAAGATAGTAGTCCCATATTTTAGAAGGGTATAAAAATGAATGCAGAAAAATTACACATGTATATCTTTAATTTGCTGCCCTTTCCCCTCCCTTGTACCCAACCCCAATAAAAATAGGTTACTTACCTAAATGTGGTGTCCAAGTGATATTTCTTGCTTTTCGGGAAAGGGTTTAAGAAAGAAAATGCCAGTTATAAATGGCATGCTTTCCTTCAAGAAACACTGGAGCTAAAATAGTTCCTTTAACCTGAAAAATTTATTCTTATATACAGTATCTCCAAATTCTGGTAGAGTTACATGTACGTGTAATTTTGAAACTCTATGAGGACTAGGAATTTAGGAACATAAAAAGCACAGGAAATTCAAACCATTTTTTGGTTCTACAAATAAATGTTCTGACTGTTTTCTATGTGTGATTCAAATAGTTGCTTGATACATTTAGATACTTATTCGGTATGTAAAGTTTCATCTTTAGCAAAATTAATTATAATGATCTCATATGATATACACAGTGACTTTTTTTTACACAAATATCCAAACAGCTTTCATTGAAATTTGTATAAATGGGCTGATGATCACCTGCTGATTGTGCACTTAATTTGTGGTACATGATCTATCTGTGTACAGTAATCAGTAGTATACTGGTTCGTCAACTGGGTGTATCCTTTGTCTGTTACAAGATATTTCATTAGAGCCTTTTGTTTCTTTTGTGCTGTATTTGCCTCCATTAGATCAATATTGAAATCCCCAAGCTGTACAGTTGCAATTGTAGGTTCTATTAATACTGAGTTGTGAAGATGAGTAAGAGCCTGAATTAACTGAGAAACTGTAACTTTAGTTTTCGAGCGATAGATACCAATGACATGAATATTTGGAATTGGTTGGGTTAAAACCATAACAGTAATTTCTAAATTATTTATGTTACATCTGTATGGAATTTGGTACAATTCAAAACATTAAAAGGTACACAGCATTTCTATAGCAAGTTCTTATGTTAGACTGACTAAAGTCTTAGTCATTTCTGTAAAGAGTAAATTCAGAAAGCTGATATGCATCATCTCTATCCGAGAAGCAAAGTTTTGAGTCAATAAAAATGTTGACATCAGCTTTTTTGAATGCTGTAATCACTTCGCACATCATCTATGTGGAGGTGGAACCAGAGGTGGAGAGATCCAACATTCTGAAACAAGATTGTTGTCGGTCTGTAACACTGCCAAAGGCACAAGGCTTGCTTGTGTTCTTAGTCTGCTCATTTCACTTTTAACTTTCTCGCTAATCTTTACTGTGAACTCGAAGTAAGCTTTTTCAAAGCTACACGAGGCTGCATATACACACGAGAGACATGTTATCAGCATTTCCAGTACAAACTACATCCATAGTACTGATCGATAGTATAAATCGCCGACAGACAGAAATCAAGTTCAACTCTGTAAAGACAACATCTAACAATGACACAAAATGGCGAACGTCAGCTCTTTTGTGTTTAAAAAACCATGTGCTTTGTCAGGTGACTACTTTCGGAATAGAGCAGTTTGCGAACGAAAGAATCTAATATTAATAGTACGCAAAAGTGCTCTTATAGAGAGAAAAACGATACAACAAGAAGGCTTACCTTAGCTTCCAGATAACACGGCATTCATTTCATTCCTCCACCGGGTGACATCAAGACATTTTTAAACGATTCTGTCGATTTGTCCACGGACCCTGTCGATGGACATTGTAGCTTTCAAGATTTCGATGCAAAGATCGTCGCTTGCACGATTTCATTGTCGATTTGTCGTAGCAAGTGTTCCTTAGCGTAAAAACTTTCCATTTTTCAACCCACGAAGGAATCCCTGTTTACAGATCGAACAAAAAACCATCTTCGACCTCCATGCCGTGTTACGCCATGTTGTTGGACAAAGATTTACGCCTTTGTAGTACCCCCATAAAACCAGTCAAACATATGGCCAGAACTCCTCGAGACAAAAACAATACTTAGCNGCCCAGAAGTCCTCGAGACAAAAACAATACTTAGCAAGGGAGGTAGGAAGAAAATGTTTAATCCGGATTTGATGAATAAATTAATCAGAATCGAGTGAGTGAGTGAGTGCCATTGGACTGCCTACTAAGCTCATGGATGACGTAAATTACGTCATCCATGAGCAAAAACCAGAAATAAAACAACAACAACAACAACAAACAAGAAACATCTCAGACAAACAACAAACTAACATTCAAACAAATAGCTAAACAAACAAGCACACGATTTAAACAATTCTCCCGAAACCCATAGAGTGGTATTACGATTATAGGATACCTCGATTTTTTCTTAATTCCTGATTATTCGAAGAAATTTCTGCTCCCTTGGTAAAGAAAGTTAAGATAAACGTACCTTTGCTTTATCGAACCTTCTGAATTTTCGAACAAAAATCCGTTGTCCTAGGTGGTTCAAAAAATTCCACTGTATTGTTTTTAACACCTTTTTATTTTTTTCCAGCCGAATGATGAGATTGCCCTTGAGGAAGAGCCGTGGTTTCATGGCACGATTGATCGTAAAGAGATAGCTACCCTACTGAAGAAAGACGGAGATTATCTAGTGAGAGAAAGCTCATCAAAACCCGGACAGTTTGTTCTGTCAACTCGGAGCACCGTGGACGGCAGCCAGAAGCATTTTATCATTCAATCAGAGGATGTGAGTACCACTTAAGCTTTGCCATCAAACACTTTATGCTTGTCTCATCATAAAGCAAAAATAAACTTCACTGTTTGAAATTTGATTTCATTCCCCGTTTGAAACCTCCACTTTTTATAGTGAGACGTTTGGCATTTATACTTGGCCTCCATACGTGTCTCATTAGCAACCAGCACTTGAAGGCCGTATAATCATGAGCCTTGCGTGAAACGAAATCCGTTTGGCCAAGTGCTGACCATTATTTCTCCTCACGTTTCTTTACCTACCAGAAGATTCTTTCGTAGAGCGAGAAATGAACGTAAACGGGGAAAAAATTGCGACATGCTTTATTTACTTGCTTTAAGATAATTCCATCGAAATAGAACTCACAATAGATTTTCTTTCAATGTTTGCCTGTTGGCTGCTTATATCGAGAGAACTTAAAATTTGAAACAAAAAAGGGGGGTCCCCACATTCGATTAGGAGCAGGAGGACCTTCAATAAACTCCATAATTCGTGAAATTATCTACTTTCAGAAACCTTTATATTTGAACAGAAGCATATCACCTTGCTTCTGATTTGAACCATTCACCTTACGCATTAAGAGAGCAGAAAAATAGAGAAAAAGTTAAGCGAGAAATGCAACAATGGATGTATTGCATAAATGTTAAGGAGCAATTTGATGTACTTTTCATGATAAGGGCACTCGTATTTAGTTGCCAGGGATACAATATGTTCTAGGCACGCAGTGTTCTGGAGCCACATATTATCTTTTACAAGTGCTAGCTATGCTCTCATTTTCCGTGATAGTTTTTTACTCTGCAATAGAAATTGGTCCATATTCACTGTATAGAAATAAGGTGATCTCTGCATTCAAACTAAATAAAAAAATCGTTAGGTCCCGGTACTCGTTTCCGAGAAAAACACGATGATTTGCCTCTCCCAAGCCAAGAGCCACCATTTTGTACATGTTGTGTATGTGCACGCGCTCGTGAGCGCGCTAATGACGCGAAAATCGTGCGCAGTAGGGATGCGCAATGCAATTCTGAGGAATCACCTTAATTTAATTTCAAAGCGCACAACACTTAAGGTGGCTACATAGGATAATCAGTTATGGCGTTGCGCGCGCAAGTGTTATGTTTTGAATGATGTTTTTGCACTCGCTTTGACACCCAGTCCTTTCAAACTTATTACATGTAATAACGAATGATTAAATAGTGTTTTGCTATCATCTCTGTTAAAATTTTGGGCTTAAGTTTTGAATTATAAATGCCCAAGCAAATGTGTTTTTACTGTTTGTGTGGCTTTATTTGTGATTTTCTTGAATTTTCTTCAGTGAAATCTTCTAAAACTTTTACAACACATCGCTTCCAGCGGGATACGAATTTTAAACACGAAAAAAGAAGGGTTTGTAAAGGCAGGTTTTTTCGATTTTTTCAAATTTTTGTCTTTTACCGCTGCAAAAAA